TTCTGTCTTACCTCTAATTCTTTCAATTATAACCTACCGTACACTTTTCCTGGTATACTCAATAAACTTATTCCTCTATAATTTTTACAATCTCTTTTGTCCCCTTTCCCTTTATATAAAGGGACTATACATGCTCTCTGCCAATCCCTAGGTACCTTCCCCTCTTTCATACATTTATTAAACAAAAGTACCAACCAATCCAACACTATATCCCCCCCTGCTTTTAACATTTCTGTCATGATCCCATCAGTTCCAGGTGCTTTACCCCCTTTCATTCTACGTAATGCTTCACGTACCTCCCCACACTTTCATTCTGCTCTTCTTCACTCCTAAAAGATGGTATACCTCCCTGACCAGTGCATGAAATTACCGCCTCCCTTTCTTCAACATTTAAAAGTTCCTCAAAATATTCTCGCCATCTACCTAATACCTCCCTCTCCCCATCTACTAACTCCCCCACTCTGTTTTTAACTGACAAATCCATACTTTCCCTAGGCTTTCTTAACTTGTTTAACTCACTCCAAATTTTTTTCTTATTTTCATTAAAATTTCTTGAGAGTGCCTCTCCCACTATCATCTGCTCTCCTTTTGCACTCTCTCACCACTCTCTTCACCTTTCTTTTACTCTCCATATACTCTGCTTTTCTTATAACACTTCTGTTTTGTAAAAACCTCTCATAAGCTAACTTTTTCTCTTTTATCACACCCTTTACTTCAACATTCCACCAATCACTCCTCTTTCCACCTGCCCCCACCCTCCTATAACCACAAACTTCTGCCCCACATTCTAATACTGCATTTTTAAAACTATTCCAACCCTCTACTCATCTTTGCACTAGCCCACCTTTCTGCCAACAGTCGCTTATATCTCCCCCGAACTTCCTCCTCCCTTAGTTTATACACTTTCACCTCCCTCTTACTTGTTGTTGCCACCTTCCTCTTTTCCCATCTAACTCTTACTCTAACTGTAGCTACAACTAAATAATGATCCGATATATCAGTTGCCCCTCTGTAAACATGTACATCCTGGAACGTACCCATCAACCTTTTATCCACCAATACATAATCTAACAAACTACTTTCATTACGTGCTACATCATACCTTGTATATTTATTTATCCTCTTTTCCATAAAATATGTATTACTTATTACCAAATCTCTTTCTACACATAGCTCAATTAAAGGCTCCCCATTTACATTTACCCCTGGCACCCCAAATTTACCTACTACTCCCTCCATAACATTTTTACCCACTTTAGCATTGAAATCCCCAACCACCATTACTCTCACACTTGATTCAAAACTCCCCATGCATTCACTCAACATTTCCCAAAATCTCTCTCTCTCCTCTACACATCTTTCTTCTCCAGGTGCATACACGCTTACTATAACCCACTTTTCACATCCAATCTTTATTTTACTCCACATAATCCTTGAATTAATACATTTATAGTCCCTCTTTTCCTGCCATAGCTTATCCTTCAACATTATTGCTACTCCTTCTTTAGCTCTAACTATTTGAAACCCCTGACCTAATCCCATTTATTCCTCTCCATTGAAACTCTCCCAACCATATATCAAAGCCCTTGTTGATGCTCATCGGATGCATCCTTCCCATAAATGATATAAAGTTTCACTAAAAAACGATATGTTAAATCTTATATTTTTCATAATTTAAATATTACCTAATTTTTTGTGAAGTCATTATAATTATTATTATTCATAGTACAGTGGAACCTCTTCTTACAAGTTTAATCCGTTCCGTGACCTAGCTCTTAACCCAACCTGCTCGTATGCTGATTCAATTTTCCTCATTTAAATTAACCAAAATGCCATTAATTCATACCAGCGGAATTCCTGCTCTGGAGGCAGGACAAAATACTTGAACATGACGCAAATATCAACTCTACCGTTTATTTATCTACCACAATTCATCTAATATGACATAATAAACAATATAATTAACAAAAACCTAATATATACTCAAGAAAGAATAAAATATGTCATTATGTGACAAGTGAAAAGCTCTGTTCCACAAGGGACAGTACTCGCTCCCATCTTGTTTCTCATCCTCATATCTGACATAGACAAGGATGTCAGCCACAGCACCGTGTCTTCCTTTGCAGATGACACCCGAATCTGCATGACAGTGTCTTCCACTGCAGACACTGCAAGACTCCAGGCGGACATCAACCAAATCTTTCAATGGGCTGCAGAAAACCATATGAAGTTCAACGATGAGAAATTTCAATTACTCCGATGTGGTAAACACGAGGAAATTAAAACTTCATCAGAGTACAAAACAAATTCCAGCCACAAAATAGAGCGAAAAACCAACGTCAAAGACCTGGGAGTGATCATGTCAGAGATCTCACCTTCAAGGACCACAACATTGTATCAAACGCATCTGCTAGAAAAATGACAGGATGGATAATGAGAACCTTCAAAACTAGGGATGCCAAGCCCATGATGACACTCTTTAGGTTGCTTGTTCTATCTAGGCTGGAATATTGCTGCACACTAACAGCACCTTTCAAGGCAGGTGAAATTGCTGACCTAGAAAATGTACAGAGAACCTTCACGGCATGCATAACAGATAAAACGCCTCAATTACTGGGAGCGCTTTAAGTTCCTGAACCTGTACTCCCTGGAATGCAGGCGGGAGAGATACATGATTATATACACCTGGAAAATCTTAGAGGGACTAGTACCAAACTTGCACACAAAAATCACTCACAACGAAAGCAAAAGACTCGGAAGATGATGCAACATCCCCCCCCAATGAAAAGCAGGGGTCACTAGCACATTAAGAGACAATACAGTAAGTGTCAGGGGCCCGAGACTGTTCAACTGCCTCCCAGCATACATAAGGGGCATTACCAATAGACCCCTGGCTGTCTTCAAGGAGGCACTGGACAAGCACCTAAAGTCGGTACCTGACCAGCCGGGCTGTGGCTCGTACGGTGGATTGCGTGCAGCCAGCAGTAACAGCCTGGTTGATCAGGCTCTGATCCACCATGAGGCCTGGTCACAGATCGGGCCGCGGGGGCGTTGACCCCCTGGAACTCTCTCCAGTGGTGGCGGCCATTTCTGCTCCCCCCTGAAAAATCTTCCCATGCTTTCCCTTCTAAGGTGTTGTTATAAGAGAAAATGGAGTGCTTGTGAGGCTAACTGCACTAGTTTCATAAGGAAAACACTGAAATAAGAAATATTGTATAAAAATAAAATAGAGACTATAAAGAAAAAACTGGTGTACGTACAGCATTTACTCTGGAGAAGAGATACTGACGGAGGCTGAGGGGGAAAAAAGACAGGCAGAGTGGCGTATACTGTCAGTGGCCCTATAAACCCCAACAACAATAACATTGGGGGAATTCATTTTGTTTCATCCCTTTTCTATCGCTGAATCGCTTAACTTACTTGCTACACTCTTAATGCTACACTGTAACACTGAACTTAACTACTACAATTTGTTTATTTTTTTCACTTCACTTTTCACTCATTTTTGGCTTTCTCTCCACGCTTTTCACTGGTGATGGTGAGTGTTGTTGTGGTATTCACTGTGCCATCTAGTGGTGGAGTTTGTTTTGTTGCGTTCTGAAGCTCACTTGTTATTATAGTACATGTATTACTATTCTAATTATTATAGTATTATCATTATTATACAGATTTATATTATCATTATTATAATGGGGAAGCACTAAACCCATAGGATTTTACAGTGCCTGTGGAGGAGAGGGGATAGAAGGTATTCAGGCTTAATTTAGGGAAATGGAGCACAGATACAATTCCCTAGATCAAGAGCCCATCACCAGTGTCAAGAACCCTCCCTTGAGGGGAAAGCTTGCAACTTTAATTTTGGCTCGTAACCAGGATAAAAAAATTGACCGAGCGACAGCTCATATCCTGAAGAATTTGCATGGTGGGGCACTCGTAAGCAAAGGTTCCACTGTATATTAGTTAAAGTGCTATTTATTAAATTATTTTATAATAAATGTTTGGGGGTCAATGAACAATCTGAAACTTCATAAAGGGGTCAATGAGCTGAAGAGTTTCGGGACCCCCTGCTATAACAGGACATTTTCTATGAATGAATATCCACTCTTAAATATATTAAAAGTAAGTAAAGAACCAAATTTCACAGAGCAATGTGTTTTGAAAACTGTCAGAGTTATCTCCTTATCGTTTTATGTGATGATCAAATCTTTTTTTGAAATCTAATAACAATCTTCAATGCTCCACTGATTCTATAATACAATTTACAGTCATTTAATTTCTATAAATTATCTCTTTCATTAAAGCATTTAGTAGTTCATCATTTCTACAAACTTAAAGAATTTTACTACGTATAAAAAATTTGCGAGAAAAATGGTCGATGATTCTATAGTTTAGCTACTGCCAACACGATGCGTATAGGATGCATAATAAAGATATTTAACTGATTGAGTCAAATGCAGTACTACCATAAACCATTATTTGGTAAATGTTGCCATCACTAATTCTTGATTTTTTTAAGTATTTTTTTTTTTACATGGTTAAACATATAGGCTAATAGCTGTCATCCTACCTCAGCTCATTTCAAAGTAAAGTCCTCTGTAAGGTACATATGTTAACACCTCCTGGAATGTGATTCACAACAGTCAACTAACACCCAGGTACCTATTTACTGCTAAGTGATCAAAGGCAACAGGTGTAAGGAAACATGCCCAATGGCTCCACCCATGCCAGGAATTAAAATATGGATCCTCAGTATGTGAGCCGAGGGCACTACTGAGCCACAGGTTAACATATAACAAATTTAAAAACAAATAAATATGCAAAAAACAACAAATATAGCTATTCATAAATTCTAAGACATGCATAAGTAGAAAAAAACACAGATTATGATGAAACAAACAAAAACATTCTGTTAAAACAAAAACCAAATTGTAAAATAACTTCAGAAAGTGGAAAAGCACATGTGAAGTGGAATCAGGGCAGCACTACAGCTTGGAGTGTACCTGGAACACTGTCAACATGGCCTGAACGAAGTTGTCAAAATTATGCCGTGGTTTATCTTCAGTCGGATTAAAGTTAAAGCGGCCACCGAAGACTTGCATGCCCAGGAGAGCAAAGATAATGATAAAGAGGAAGAGCAGGAGCAGCAAAGAGGCGATCGATTGGATGGAGTTGAGGAGGGAAGCGACCAGGTTGGAGAGCGACCGCCAGTATCTGCAACAAGGGAGTTTCACGTTGACAAAATTCAACAAGCTTACAGAACATGAGACATCTCATAAGCAGTGTTAGTAATAAAGCTTAAAAGTTTTAGACACTTCTTTGTCATCAAAGAAAAGAAACAAAGATATACCTGTTAAAATATTTTTCACAAGAAAAATAAAGCTTTAAGGAGAAACTGATTAGCAGGAAAGTTATGAAATTTCTGGGTCACAAACTGTGATAAATTTAACAGTGTGATTCTCTTTATCAAGCAAGAGAGTCTTATTTAACCCCTTCACTATTCACATATGAGACAAAATAATTCACAACTAACCTTCTTGATAGGATACTTTATATAACATCATTTAGATCTGGCCCACATCATTATCAAGTCACGTGGTTCAGGACTGACCAAAATGTGTCAAGATTCCTGTTAATATTATGGGTTAGATGTGAATTTTTCTAGCCATCGCATTGTGGTTTTTTTCCTCATAAAATAAAATAATAATATAATGACATCCAAAATATATAATAAGTCAATATTTCCATTCACATTTTCTTTGTTTCTAGCAAATTTACACTTGTGATGTGTATCCAATCATGCTAGGTGCCCAAACATTTTTTTTTAAACATTCGTAAGCCCATGGGCTCTCCATACTCACTGTTTTTACCCTGAAACATTAACTCTGTTATTTTGCATTATACACCTAGAGTATCTTCCTCTTATATTGGAAGTAAATTAAGCTTATGCACATTCTTTTTTCCAACAAAAACACACTGAATATTTTATGACCTGCTGCCACATGATAAACACTGCAAGGTATGTGTAGTTGTGCATTTGCACATGGAAGGCAAAATAAGCCCTTTTTTATATGAAAGTTAGTACGCACAAGTATATACAATACTTCAGTTACAATATAACTTAAAGATAAAAAAAATAAATTATATTAATTCATTCTATATATTTTTTAAAACATATTGAAAACATATTAATTATATTAAAACAAGCATGTTTCATGTTAATAATTACTATGAGACTTTTTGGGTGAATGAGTGAAGGGGTTGGGGAAATCTTAGCTTAAGATTCAGGAAACATATTATAAGTACAGTATGTGGTTAGGTGGCAGTTGTTGCAGCCCTGCAGCCATGATGCTGTGTTCTCCGATGGCCATGAACTTTAAACAGCCAACATGCTGAAATCTCAGAAACACAAAGTGTTCTAAAGCCTCACCGTATTTCTCAGTGGTGACAAATATACAGCTAGCAACTGCTGCAACTGATTGGTTAATATTTTTTTCATCATGCATCTGTGTCAAGCTTTACATTTATATGTCAAACAGATATCCTTTGCTTCATGTGGTAGATGTAGTGCTCATGGCAGCTACAGTAATCCTAATCCATTTACTAACGTTAATTCCTCATTATAGGAATTGTCATTACATTCTGCTAACTGCACTTACCACATAGGGTAAATTTATATAGAATACAGGAAATTACTGGTAAAAATTGGGAAACACATTAAAGTGAATTTTAATACTGGAAGCCCTATAAAGCAAAGGATTACTGTATTATAGAATACAGAAAATTATAGAAGTACAAAATGCAATGTTGTCCTTCCGTGATGTCGCCTCTGCAAAAAAAGAAAGACTGTAGACATTTTCCAAATTCTTGAGACAAAGAAAATTCATTATTCTCAAAATTTTAATTCATTAAAAGTATCTGCATAAATAATCAAAATTGTGATTAACTCTCAAAGAACTTAAAGGAATAATGCATGATGGATAAAAGATACAAGTAGGAAAAGCCATTTTCTATTACCTGAACTAATAAAAAGAAAAGTTCAATGGGTCACTCAGAGCTGACCCTCTAAGAGTTAATCAGTACGTAAGATCACCCAGAAGATGTGAATATTGAAATAATCTATTAAGAACCTTCACATACTACCGTATGCATAATACAGCCTCTCCTCAGTGACGTAATCGTTTACCAATGCCTTGGACTTATGATGGGCTCTCTGACCAGTATGCATACCTAAACAATGTATATTAAAGCTGATTTCCTCTATTCTGTTTATTACAATATACAGTACACTACTGTATAGACATTTAAAAATATACCAGAAATGTTATAAATGGTGAGTGACATTATACAGTTATAGTGGCCAGAACATTGTGTAGCTTTAAAAATAGGTTGGATAAATACATGAGTGGGTGTGGGTGGGTGTGAGTTGGACCTGATTAGCTTGTGCTACCAGGACGGTTGCTGTGTTCCTCCCTTAAGTCAAGGTGACCTGACCTGACTAGGTTGGGAGCATTGGCTTAACCTGGTAGGAGACTTGGACCTGCCTCGCATGGGCCAGTAGGCCTGCTGCAGTGTTCCTTCGTTCTTATGTTCTTAAAACAATATCAAAGATAGCCGATACAAACCCACTACCATTATACTATGCTCCTCACTTAGTGACGATTTGTTTACCAACGTGGACTTAGGAACGGAACTTCGTCATTAACCCTTAAACTGTCCAAGCAAATTTACATTCACATGCGTAGTGCTCCAAAGGTAGATCTACGTTTTTTTACATATTTTCAAATATAACAAAAAAAAAGTAGATCAAAGTTTTTTTACACGTTTTCAAATGTAAAAAAAAGAAAAGATGATCTACGTTTTTTTACATACTTTCAAATGTTGAAAAAAATGTAGATCTACGTTTGGACAGTTTAAGGGTTAAGTGAGGCGAGGCTGTAATGTATTATAATCACATTATTATATTCATGGTGGAAGATGGCTAGTGTGTTAAAATAAAATGCATGAGAATACATGGAAAAAACAGACAGAGGACATATAAGTTGATAGTGATGCTATCTGCTGAAGACTACAGTGTCTACGTCTATCCAGATTAATAAAGACTACTGTGCATTATCTAGGTCTTGAAGGCAAGAATAGTAAAACAGAAGGCTGGAAAATGGAGGGTTTGAGCCATGAAATGTGAGGGGTAATTCATATTGCTTAGATAAAGAGGCCTTCACCAGCACTAAACAACTTCCCCTCCCCTTGAAAGTAAACATCACTGTAGAGCTTTCACGTACTTCCCTCACGTATATATTTTAATCTGATATCAAATGCACATACAGTAAACCAATCTTGGATTAAAGATTACATATATTTTTATAGGCAGTACAATATATGGCTTGCCCCCCAAACTTTTATACCTGAACCCACTATTTAAAGAATATTTTTTTTTTTTTTTTTTTTTTTAAACATCGGTCATCTCCCACCGAGGCAGGGTGACCCAAAAAGAAAGTAAATCCCCCAAAAAGAAAGTACTTTCATCATCATTCAACACTTTCACCTCACTCATACATAATCACTATCTTCGCAGAGGCGCTCAGATACAACAGCTTAAAAGTTCCTCCAAACTGCCAATATCCCAAATCTCTCCTCTATTTATGTATAAGACACAAAGAAATTACAATGGTATAAAAGTGAGGAAGTAAAATTAAGAAGCTACACTAATAAATAATTGCAATTATCAATTAGAATAATCACCCTATGATATTAGCCTCAGAGTATTTTTTAAATGTTTCTAGTCATGTTTGAAAAGCTAGCATAAACTACAGCACCAGAGAACCAGTAATCCAGCAACAACTTGTTTGAAAAATATGAATCTTCCGAATACATCAGTATTCCAGCTAAACCTATTTTATTTATTTCTTTGTAAAGGTTACGAAGTGTAATTACAATTTTGGTTTGCTAAGTAAAAAGAAAGCCACTATCATGCCAGGGCATTTCGAGCAGACTAATCCTAGTACATAATAACTACTTAAATCTAGACAAGATAAGAGTGATTAACTTTTGGGGATTAGCGTGGACGGTTACAAAGCATGGCTTGCTTCTGCAGTGTTTTAAAAACTGAGTTTGGAGAGTTGAAGGAGGAGGTCTTGCTTCTCCAGGAGGAGATTAGGAGGCTGAAGGTCCACCTCAATGGGCCTGGGAGAGAGTGTGAGGTGGGTTGGAGATGTGGGGAATGAGGCTTTAGCAGTGGGGGTTTGGCATTTCTGTCTTCACTGTGAGGGGTTTGAAGGTGGGGAGTAGCAAGGGTCCCAGCAGTGGGGGTGCGCCCGCACAGCTAAAAGTGGAGATTTTGTTCAAAAGTAATGGGAGGGCTTCAGAAAAAGGGAAAAGTTAAGAGTGAAAGATTGAAGGTGGGAAATCCCCTTCTTGTTCTCCAGGATGAATGTACTTCGGGGCCCCAGTAAAGGAAAGGGGGTATCCTCCCCCTGCTAATAAAGGAAAGCGATTCTTGGGGTTTGGGTTTGACCCCTCAGGGTAAAAATATGTTGACCTTTTCCCTTTTTGTAATGGAAAAAGGGAAGGGATGAGAGATAGAGTGTGCTTTCCCGGGAAAGGGGTTTTGGGGGACATTTCAACGATGGTTAATAATGTCAGGTAATGGGAACAAGCCCATTATCTGTCTCTTTTGCGGGGAAATGATTTTGGGGGAAGGGTAGGAGAAAAGAGTGTTAGATAAGTCGGGGTCAGCAAAGGGTTTTCTTTAAGTTTAAGGGAGGGATCCCTTTCCATATGTGCATCTTGCCTAAAAGGGGAGTGGGGGAAATGAATGGTTGTCTAGGGCAATTGGGGGAATTTTGCTGGTAGCGATATGCAAGGAATTGCAATCCCATTCGGGACAACTGGAACAATTTTATGGCAAAAAAGGGAAAAGTATCCCAAGGGGGGTTGGGGTTCATCTTTTTGGGGGCGGGGGGTGGTACCCACTTGCAGATGTTTGAGAAGGCCATTGGTAAAAATGCCTTTTGTTTTTTAAACTGTGAAGATAGAGGTATGGGTGTGTGTGGGAAAACAAGCGGGTTCCCAACACTGGGGTTTGGAAACGTAAATGTATAAAAGGCTTTTCGGGCAGGGAAGTTATAAATAAAGAAAATAAAAAACGGGTCAAAAAAACAAAGGGGGACAGCAGAGGGCGAAAGGGAAATGGGCCCTTTTAAAGGTTTACTAAAACTAATAGCGGGAAAGTGTTAGAAATAAGAAGATGAGCAAAGGTTTAAATTGCAAGTGCAGGAAAACCCATGATATTTTTGTTTTAAAAAAGGAGACCTGGCTAAATCTGAAAGATAGAGAGATGCCATCTGAAGGTCACATCCCCCAAGGCAAAAAATTATTCCACACTGACGGGGGTTTCAACAGGAAAGGTGGTGGAGAAAGCGATGTATGTCAGAGAAAATTTTAAAATTTTTTGGGGGTTAGAAAATGATTTTAAAATTAGAAGCGCCCAGCCCCCTAAATTTTTTTTGGTTACGGGCTTCTCGAGGGCCGAGAAAAAACAAATTTTTGGGGTTTGTGATTTACGGGCCCCCAAAAATTCTGATAGGGGAGTGCATTTAAAATTCAAATGGGACGAAAATTTGGGTTAAGGAAATTACATACAAAAAATGTTGTGTTTAATGGGAGATTTAAATATGACAGTTTGGACTGGAGAAATTTGGGACAGGAAATTTAGAGTGGGTTTAAATTTTTCTTAAATAGGGACCCAGGATTTTTTTTTTTAAAACTTTTGTGACAGAGCCCCCCTGGGGGAAAAAAAATCCTTGATTTGGGGTTCTTGCCGTGGGAAAAAAAAATTTAATAAT